GTTAATATGTAAAATTTTGTGTAATTACATTTTAATTCAAATGTATCAAGTTGGTGTATCATGCTTAATGAGACGACTAATAATAAGTTATTAAGAGGACCATTAAGAGACCGAGAACAAACCGGACTGGGACCAGACCAGACTGGACCAATATATCCCTATATTGAACTGAACTTTTGTTATGTTCAAGTTCAAATTTAATAAAAAATTAAAGTTTAGTTCAAGTTCAGTTTAGGTTTAATTAAACTAAATTGAACTTAATTAAACTTGAACTAAACTTCAAAACTCTAGCCAGTTCTCAAATTAGAATATTCAAATTTTAATACTTTATATAATTTACAGTGCCTGAAAATAAATCACCAGAAATTTTATAGCCAAGATATATATAATCTTTTTTTAGTGAATTTTTTTTTATATTTAATATTTGTTATATAAAAGTTGTATTTTTATAAAATAAAACTATATTTTTTGTATGGTGAAAAAAACTACTCATAAAAAGCTCAGTTAAGATCAACAAAGATATATTATTGGTGCTTATCTGTGTGGTTTTAAACTACTTCATATTGCCTAAGCTCTTGATTTTCCAAAATTAATAGTGTATAACACCATTAATCAGTATAGCAAAACAGATTTAAAACATCCAAACAACACCCTGACTGCCAAAAAGTACTTTCTAAGCATGATAAACATACTTTAACCTATATTGCAAATAATAATTGTAAAGCACCATTGGCCATCATTACAAACAAACTGAATCTTTAGCTTGGAATAATACTTATCACCAGAACCACCTTTATAATTTTGGTTAGAGAAACTGTGTAGCTTGCAAAAAATCTTTTTAAGAAAAAAAATACAAGTAACCAAAAAAAGTAGTGTTATAAACATTCAAAATAGAAAAACAAATAGCAAAATATTATTTTCAGTGATGAGTTAAGGTTTTGCCTTTACAAATTGGATGGTTATGAAAAAGCTTGGCACCAAGTTAGTAACAAATATCATAAAGATTGTATAAATATAACTGTGAAGTTTGGTGGTGGTTCTGTGATATTCTGGGTTTGTTTTTCTTGGTGAGAAGTTGGCTTATTAGTGGAAATAAATTGTAATATAAATTCAGATAGTTACATCAATGTACTTGCAAAACATTTTGTTCCATGGGCAAATTCTTTATTAGAACAATATCCAAATAAAATAAATTTAATATTTCAACAAGATTTAGCTCATGTTCATATATCAACTTATTCAGAATAGTGGATGAAATCTCATGGTTTCGATATATTAGATTGGGCACCGTATAGTCCTGATTTGAATCCGATTGAAAATCTTTGGGAATGTCTTGATTTGGCACTACATAATAGAAGGCCATCACCCAAAACACAAGAAGAATTAGTTAAGTGTATAAAAGAAGAATGGAATAAAATACCAATTGAGTATATTCGTTCACTTATCTGTAGTATGTCAGCTCGTGTGATGGCGATTTATAAAGCCAAGGGATAGCATTCGAAATATTAAAAAAATGCAGTGATTTTTTTTTAGAATTTAGTTTTAAATAATTGTTTTTATTTTATATAATTAGTGTAATTATACTATATATAATATAAATAAATAAAGATCGCATATAAATTTGGTTCTTAAGTGTTACATATAAAATTTTCGGTGATCTACTTCTGGGCACTGTATCATAGGAATTCTATTTATAAAAAAACATCTGGTTCAATAAATCTACATTCAATATTTTAAATAACATCTACTTACCACATTCTTTACAACAGTTTTGACGTAAGTTTTTACTTCTTCGACTTGCCCATCCTTCACATTGCCTGACATGGCCGTCTCTGCAGTCGGTAACAATATGGCTTCTATTTAATTAATCATCTTGTCCCAAATATCTTTGAAAAGATTTCGTGAATTTGATGATGATAATTCGATAGTATCAATTATATTATAACGAAGCAAACTGTAAAATGAGGTTAGTTATCGATAAGTAAAAAAGTAATCATGCGTACTTAGATTTTTTACGTGACTCTATTATTTTGATCGTACGTATATTATATTTTCGATATAAAAACTATTGTCACTACAT